GTTAGCATCCAACAACTCAGCAATATGTTACAGAGGGCCGAGGAACTGATTAAGAAGGATGAACCCATTTCCATGCTTGTTGAACCTAGCAAATCGGGCAAGAAGAAGAGGAAGGCAAAAAGAAAGCCTCAGAAAAAAGTTACTAAGTCCAAAAGGCAAAAGAAGGACAGAGCATCAGATGCTTGTCACTACTGCAAGCAGGCCAACCAATGAAAGAGGAACTGTCCTCAGTACCTGGAATCCAAGAAACAAGGTAATTTCGAATCCTTTGTCATTAACTCACTGCAATGGTTCAGGACAAGTAGAAAACTGAGTGACGGAGAGGTGACTCTTTACTTAGGGACTTCTGCAAGTGTTGCAGCTACAGCCATAGGATCTGTAGAGTTAATTTTCAGAGAAGGAATTATTGTACTTAAAGATTGTCTTTATGTACCTAATTTGAAAAGAAATCTGATTTCTGTTTCAAAATTGTGTGCGGATGGATATTCTGTTCTCTTTATTAATATGATCACTATTAAAAGAAATAACAAATTCCTCGCATACGGAGAACTTGAGAATGGTCTCTATGTTCTCCATCCTTCTCTTGAAACTAATATAATCAAAACTACATCGGATGATGTTCCCAAGAAAAGAACCCGTGATACAGTTAATCCCACGTGTCTGTGGCATTACCGACTTGACCATATTAACATAGATCGTATCACAAGGTTGGTAAAGGATGGTCTTTTGGATTTTCTAACTGTAGAAGATCTTCCAACCTATGAACCTTGCCTTCAGGGTAAGATGACGAAACGACCATTTAACAGAAAGCCTGAAAGATGTATATGCACGCTTGACCTTATACATACTGATGTATGTGGTCCCATGARTRTTAGGACACGTAACCAGMACRTTTATTTYATAACATTTACCGATGATTACTCACGGTATGGTTACGTGTACCTAATGAGACACAAGTCTGAATCCTTTGAAAAGTTCAAAGAGTTCAGACAAGAGGTCGAGAAGCAGTTAGGGAGAGAAATTAAGACCCTTCGATTGGATCGAGGTGGTGAGTATCTCTCTGACGAAGTCAATGACTACTTAAAGGTCAATGGGATAGTATCACAGCTAGCTCCTCCTACTACACCACAACTAAACGGTGTGTCAAAGAGGAGGAACCAGACTTTTTTGGATATGGTCCGATCACTTCTCGTACACTCAGAGCTACCCACATCCTTTTGGGGTTACGGATTAGAAACTGCGATATACGTGCTGAATTGGGTTCCAACCAAATCAATTCCGAAGAAACCAAGTGTGAGACATTTGAAGATTTGGGGTTATCCGGCACATGTTAAAAGAACGAGTGCAGACAAATTGAAATCCAAGACCAACCGTTGCCTATTTGTAGGCTACCCCAAAGGCTCTGTGGGTTACCTATTCTATGACCCAGGAAAACAGAAGGTGTTTTGTAGTCGAAATGCCCATTTCTTGGAAGATGATTACATCATGAACAATCATCATCAAGAAGTTGTTCTTGATGAGGAGAGCTCAGGGCAGTGGGAGATGTCCCACAAGCTCCATGTATTGACCAACCTAGAAGATCTATCCGGGTTACAGGCCTCCAATTCATTTCGACTATGACCAGGATAGTTACTTGGTGGAAGCCACGACAAGTGAGGAGGATCCCGTGACTTATACGGAAGCTATGTTGGACATAGATTCCTTGAAGTGGGTAGATTCCATGAGAGCTGAGAAGAACTCAATGGAGAACAATGGAGTTTGGACTCTGGTAGATCCGCCCCATGGGGTAAAAGCAATTGGTTGCAAATGGATCTATAAGAGGAAGAAGGGCCCCGATGGTAAGGTTGAGACCTACAAGGCTCGTCTTGTAGCGAAAGGGTATACTCAGAAAGAGGGAATCGATTATGAGGAAACCTTTTCGGCGGTGGCCATGCTTAAATCCATTAGGATCCTGATAGTTGTAGTAGCGTACCATGATTATGAGATTTGGCAAATGGATGTCAAAACTGCATTCCTGAATGGAGATCTTACTGAAAATATCTATATGCAGCAATCGCAAGGTTTTATAGCTACAGGTCAGGAACACATGATATGTAAATTAAATCGATCCATATATGGACTCAAGCAAGCTTCTAGGAGTTGGAACATTCGGTTTGCCTCTACCGCCAAAAGGTTTGACTTTGAGCAAAATCCGGATGAGCCTTGTGTTTACCGGAAATCTAGTGAGGATAAGGTTACGTTCCTGGTTCTGTATGTTGATGGCATTCTACTCATTGGGATTGATGTAGGAATGTTGACTATGGTAAAAGTATGGCTTTCACAACAATTCTCCATGAAAGATCTTGGAGAAGCCTCCTACATACTAGGTCTTCGGCTCTATAGAGATAGATCAAAGAGGATAATAGGATTATCCCAATCTGCTTACATTGGCAAAATAGTCAAGAGATACAGCCTGGAGAACTCCAAAAAAGAAAATATTCCTTTCAGGCATGGAATTACTCTCTCCAAGGAAATGTCTCCCAAGACTCCCGAGAAGATTGGAGGCATGAATGACGTTCCTTATGCCTCAGCCGTAAAGAGCATCACGTATGCCATGTTGTGCACTCGTCTTGACATCGCTCAGGCAGTGAGTATGGTAAGAAGATTTCCGTCAAACCCAGGGCAAGAGCATTGGATTGTTGTGAAAAACATACTCAAGTACCTTCGAAGGACAAAACAGTTTTGTCTAGTATTTGATGGTAGTTCACTACAGATCCAGGGGTATACTGATGCCAGCTTCCAGTCAGATCCAGATGGTTGAATGTCTACATCTGATTATATCTTCACGATAGGATCGTGTGTTGTTTGTTGGAAAGTCAGCAAACAGGGGTGCTAAGTAGTAAGAATAACAGTCCACAACCCAAGCCGAACACATTGCCGTAAGTGAGGCTGCCTAATGAATAAAGGTGTTCATTCTAGAATTTGGAATTCAGCACATCACCCATTCCACTATTGTGTGACAACACAGGATCTACGGGAGATTAATGTTAAAAGGTGGCATCAGCGAAAATGTGCCAGACCCATTGACTAAGCTACTGACACAGAAAGTGTTTGAGAAACAGGTGGAAAGTCTAGGACTCTGACTTGTACCCGATTGGACCTAAGTGCAAGCGGGAGCTATTAGACAGTGTATGCCCTTAGCTCCAATTAGAATGATGTACATTATGACATTTAATGTAAATGAATAAACTACATATTTGATTCATGTTATTATGGTGTGTTTTTGTTTAATACCCTTAAACTGGACACATATGAGACTCGTGTTAGTTTAGAATCTTCACAGCCGTTGGATAGATCTGGGGAGATCTATCCTACCAAGGCTGACACTGATGTGCTACCAAGTTGATTGGGTGGCTTGTCTCAGTTGCCAGGGTGAGACTTGAGGTACATGTAGTGTGGGTTTTCTTGAAATCCTGAACCGGACCAGAATTCCAGTATTGCCCTAGACCTTGGAGATAGATGGGCAAAACTGGAATATTACACCTAACCCCTACACTCGATTATGATACTGCACTAGGTGTCGGATTGGGCTATTTTTGATATGCCAATCAGTGAGATCCTTAGAGGGGGTCAAAACCCAGGTATGTTGGGACAGTCCGAGAATTCATCTGAGTGGGTGATCATAGTGACAGGATCATCCCCTTTGTCGGATAAAGTGAATAATCAGGGATGCACTCTCTCTGATGGAAACCAAAGCTGCCGGCAACTAATTTCAACCGTTGAAATTTGTTTTGCAAAATATATTTATATAGAAATATACATATATATATTATGGTTTCAAAATGTTTGCAAAAAGTTTTAATTCCCAGGAACAGTGAGTAGATAGTGCAGCGCTATACCTTGCAATCGAGGGAGAGGTCCTCTCTTGTCGAGTAGTGTTTGATCATTATGGGCTGAGAGGTCAAATGTAAGACCATTGAGGGTAATACCTGATGGGCTAATCTTGCATTTGCCCACAGTCATTGGGTTTTATATGGTGGTTTGACCCAATGACCATTTAGTGTAAATGTTGGCCCCATTAAGAGCCCATGGTGATGGGCTCAGGGRTTCACTGTCACCTACAGTGAATTCGGCCAGGCCTTGTAACAAAGAATAGGCTGAACCCATGTGGTTGATGTGTAGATCAATGTTTGGGTCCCATGTCATACAAGGATATCCAACTGGGCAGTAGTTTGGAGGATAAGTGAGCACATGGACTTAATGGGCCTAAAGCCCAATTCGAACTGATTTAATTAGATTAATTAAAGAGGGGAGGTTCTAGGATTTAGATCAGCAGATAGGATAAGCGATTGTCCCTATCCACTCAGAGAGTCCAAATCCAAATAAAGATTTGGATCAGGAAATTCCTAATTAGATTAGGAGGGCTGATCTTTATCTGCTAATAAGATAAGGGATTATCCTTATCTCTTAAAGAGAGTCTTGATCCAAATACAAGATTTGGATTAGGAAACTCCTAATGGGGTTAGGAGAACCTCTCTTTAAGGCTATAAATAGAGGATGAGGGTGAACCCCAATTCATCCATCAGTATTACTGATACAAGAGAGAAGATAGCATACAATTGGACTGACGCCATCTTCTGCTCTTGTCTTCTCCTGCTATTGCCGCCATTGCTAGTTCGATCTCCACCTGTAGGAGCGATCAAGAAGGGTTCTTGATATCACCTTTTGGCAGAAAAGGTGATCTGAAGTCATGCTCACTCGCCCTCCATCAGATTTTTGGTGAAGAATCATGTTCTTGTTGAAGAGCCATCCTACTGATTCTGCTCCACTCTACGTTGTGTCATTTTCAGTGGGAGCAGTCTTTGGTAATCTCCTTGGGCGTAAACACCTTCGTTGGGAGTTACTATTACTCCGTATCAGGTATATCCGTTTCCACCTTTTGGTTTCAGATCTGGTTCAGTTCAAGTTCAAGATTAATTCTTGAACATGTAGTTTTGTAAAATAGGAAATGTGATTCTTACATGGGAGAGAGAGAAATTCTTGAAATTTCGCCCAACCTACCTGTTGAGTTCAGCCTTCCATATGATGGATCTCTCATCCCTTCAGGCATAGCAATGGCTGAGTACATTCAAAAAATTAAGGGTCTTGTAGACTCTTTGGTAGCTTCAAGTTATCTAATCTCAGATGCTGACCTAATTCAGTATATGTTAGGTGGTTTTGGATTAGAGTATGATCTTTTTGTTATATCTATCATGACCAAACTTTGCAATCTCTCTATAGTTGATGTTCAAAGCCTTCTCATGAGTTTTGAAAAATGCATGGAACGCCATATTCAATCTTCATCAATGACTGCAAACATTGCAAGCAAGGGAACAAAGGAGCAACATGGCCATCACTCTAATAAATATAACAACTACAACAATAGAGTAACAACAAACCCGGAAATTACAACAATAGTAACCAAAGAAGCAATCAAGGTGGCAATTCTCATCGTTCTCCTTCCAATTATCAGAAAGGCAACAGTGTAATTTGTCAACTGTGTAACTATTGTAGCCACAGTGTTCTTACCTACAGGCATTTATTTGATCTATTTGGTGGTCATTCCAATGGTTCTGCTATGATTGCTTCCTCCTCTGCTAGCAGTCATGATCTCAATTGGTACCCAAATTTGAGTGCCACAAATCACATGACATCAAATCTTGAAAATTTATCTCTGCACCAAGAATACCGTGGGAATGATCAGATCTCTGTTGGTAATGACCAAGGTTTCAAAATTTCACATATTGGTCATGCTATTTTACTTACTTTACATGGTTCTCTTACTTTTAGAAATACTCTTCATGTGCCTCAAATTAGGAAGAATTTGATTTCTATTTCTCAATTTGTACTATGACAATAATGAAACATTTGTTTTTAATTCTTCTGGTTTTTGTGCTAAGGCCAATGCCACGGGAGAGAATTTTCTCTAGGGACTGATTAAAAATGGCTTGTATCAGGTGTAAAGCTAGCATGCCACTCACTCACCATGTAGACCAAGAGTTTTCATTGAAGAATGCACCAGTCTTTCTATCTGGCATCAAAGGCTTGGCCACCCAAGTCCTAAAATTACTCAGCATCTCATCACCAAGTTTCAATTACCTATCACAAATAAGTGGCTTGCTCCCTATCACCACTGTCAACTCGAAAAAAGCCATAGGCTTCCCTTCTCTCATAGCTCTACTACTGTTACTAGACCATTGGAAATTATTTGCTCTTATGTATGGGGCCCCACTCCTTGTTCTTCAATCAATGGATTTCATTATTATTTGTACTTCGTTGATGCTTTTAGTAAATACACATGGATCTATCATGACATGCAAGTTAGATGTGCCACTCATGTTCACTCAATTTAAATCTATGGTGGAAAATCAATTTGATTGCAAAATTAAAATGCTTCAAACTGATGGTGGTACTGAGTATAGCCAACTTGCTCATCTTCTTCTCTCTTTAGGAATAATTCATCGCCTTTCTTGCTTACACACGCCGGAGCAAAATGGCTTTATTGAGAGAAAACACTGACATATCGTCGAAACTAGTCTCACATTACTTGCAAATGCCCATGCTCCTTCCAAATTCTGGCCTGAAGAATTTGAGACTGCAGTATATCTCACAAATCACCTACCTTCCTCGGTTATTGGCATGCTATCTCCGTTCGAGAAATTGTATCATCAACCTGATTTCACCACTCTTCATACTTTCAGATGTGCTTGCTACTCGTATCTTCGACCTTAAAATAGCAACAAGTTGGAGTCTAGGTCGATGTGTTGTATTTTTCTAGGTTATGGTACCAATCGTTATGGCTACAAGTGCATGCACCTAACAAGTGGGCATATCTATTACTCACAACATGTTGTCTTTCATGAAGAAGTGTTTCTGTTCCTACATCATGAGAACAATTCCTCTCTAGATATCACGCTTACTCTTGCCATTGGATCTCCACCAATCGTTCATCCTTGTCCTTCGAAGCCCATTACTAGTTCACCTTTAGGTATCACTTCCATGCCTTCCACTACTTTATCAAGTACTCACGTTCAATCTCCTGCTTCTAGTGAGCCACCAAACCTGTCCCTGTTATCTCAAGCTACTTTTGTTTCTCCACCATCCATCAGCCAGCATAGTCCAACACCGTCATTATCTTTATCAAATCCCGTGAGCACTCATCCTATGACTACTAGACTCAAATCTAGCATTGTTAAACCTAAGCCAAAATATGCAATGTTAGCCAGCCCTTTACCTAAAACCAAGCCCACATCCTATACCTAGGCCCATAAGGACCCTAGGTGGCAGGTTGCAATAGCGGTAGAATTTCAGGCTCTAGTCAAGAATAACACATGGGTTCTTGTTCCTCCACCTACTAACAAGAATATCATTGGTAATAAGTGGGTTTTTCTTATCAAGAGGAATCCTGATGGTTATGTGGCTCACCTACAAGGCCCGCCTAGTGGCCAAAGGCTATAGCCAACAAGATAGGTTGGATTATGATGAAACCTTTAGCCTGGTTGTAATTAAAGCCCACAACCATTTGACTCGTATTGTCTTTGGCTCTCACTCATAGATGGTCCATTAAACTTGGCATTAGCAATACCTTTCTTACATGGCTTTCTCACTAAAGATGTTTACATGAGCCAACCAATTGGTTTTGTTGATCCTCGGGCTCCTCATCATGTTTGCAAACTCTAATGCTCTCTATATGGGCTTAAGCAAGCACCTCGTAGTTGGTTCCATCGCCTTCGTGAATTTCTTCTCCTTTATGGCTTCCATGAGTCTAGAGCTGATTCATCTCTTTTCTTCTTCAAAACGTCATCATTCACTCTCATGCTATTCATCTACGTTGATGACATTTTACTAATGGACTCTCACTCTACTATTCTTGACAAATTTCTTCAATCCTTGGGTCCTACCTTTTTCATGCATGATTTAGGCCCCTACACTATTTTCTTGGGATTGAAGCCCAACATCATTGAGATGGCTTACATCTATGTCAACATAAGTATGTCTAAGACCTCCTTAACAAAGAAAATATGCAAGATGCAAAACCAATGTCAACACATGTCTATTGCTTTAAAGCTTTCTATTAACTTAGGGGACCTGCTTCTTGACCCCACCATGTATAGAAGCATTGTGGGAAGTTTGCAATATCTCACTATAACATGGCCTAAAATTTCCTTTGCCGTGAACAAAGTTTGCCAATTTTTAAAATCCCCCACCACTACTCATTGGTCAGTTGTGAAGCACATCCTTCAATATCTCAAGCTCACACCATCTCATGGTCTCTTGATATGACTTCTCAAGGAGCTTCATCTCTCCATGTACTCAGACGTTGATTGGGCTGGCTGCCCCAACGATCATCACTCCCAGCAAGGTTTCTACATCTTCCTTGGCCCCAACCTTATATCATGGAGTTCCAAGAAGCAAATAATAGTTTCTCGATCAAGCACTGAGTCTGAGTGTAGAAGTTCTATTGCCTTGGCTATTGAAGCCTCTTGGATTCATATGTTACTACAGGAGCTTGGCTTCCTCCTAATGGCCCTGCCACACTATGGTGTGATAACCTCGGTGTCATATTCTTAATTGTTAATCTCGTCTTTCATGCAAGAACTAAGCATATAGAATTGGACTTCATTTTGTTTGTGAATGGGTCGCAAACAAGCAATTCCAAGTTCGCTTCATTTGCACCCAAGACCAAAATGCTAACATTCTCATCAAACCTCTCTCTTCTCAGCAATTTCAGTTGCTTCGGGACAAGCTTACTATTCATCCTTCCCCGTTTGGCTTGAAGGGGGGTGTTATGGATAACTCCCTCTTATGATAGGGCTTATCCTCTCTACTCATGTTTTTGTTGTGATTTGTTTACACTCAAATTCTATACAGTTGTATCATCTTATCATGTAAAATATTCTCTATAAATATTCTAATACAATACGCTCAAAATACAAAGCAAGTTCTTCAAACTATGAATCACTTTACTCTATATTTTTTGATTCAGAAAGCCATACAACTGTATCATCTTATCATGTAAAATCTTCTCTATAAATATTCTAATACAATACGCTCAAAATAAAGAGCAAGTTCTTCAAATTATGAATCACTTTACTCTCTATATTTTCTGACTCAAAAAGCATAGTCAACATTTTCTACAAGAATGATGAACATGGTTAGCTTATCTAGCCTATAAAGCAATAAGTTTTACAACTATTATCTCTTTTTGATATAGTATGTGTAAAGCATGTAAATAGAGATATGAACAGGGTTGCACATGAACCGGCTTATAATGCATATAAATATAGTATGATAGTGAAAAACCTATGCAACCAATTTGTATTGATGCTCCTTAATAAATGACAACTTTTTCAGTTTTTTTATTTGGAAAAAAGGGGGTTTTACTATTCAGCCAATCTTAGCTCCACCGTACAGTTAGGGTAGATGTCAACTCGGAATTGATGCCAATTTACATGCGGGTATAGGTGTTATAGGTGGAGGTGTTTATAATTTTGAATAATTGTAGGTATGCAGTTAAATTCAGAATTCTGAGGTGGAGTGCAGTCAAGTTATCCCAAAAAACCAGGTAGGCAGGTAATTTTATTTATTCAATTTTATTTTTTGGGTCATTCTGGTATCTCCATCCTTTTTTTTTGAATAAATCTAGAGAGCACTAAAACAAACAGGGGGTAGTGTGCCCCCAACAATCAACTAAACAAATAGAGGAAAGAGAAGGGGGAAGGGAAGATGAGTTAAAAGATACAAACTCCGAAGTAGTAATCTGGGCTTCACGAGCAATCCAATCTGTGGCCTAGTTCGCTTCTCTGTAGACATGTTGAAAGATAAGTCTTCTAGAAAAGGTGTTCTTCATCCTGATGCAGATCTTGATTGTGTTCTTCATCTTCCATGGGGGCTTAGTCTTCTGGTTGAGGCGCAAAATCACCAACTTTGAGTCTCCTTCAATAATGATCGGAAATTGACGGAACTTTACTGCCATCTTAATGGCCTCCCAGGCTGCTCACACTTCAGCTTGATTGATTATACTCAATCTTGATAGCTTTGGTATTTAGGACACGAGCAAGATGGTTACGGGCAATACAAGCAGCAATACAAGGACCATCTAAGATACGATAAGCATCAAAGTTGATTTTAATGCTATCTTGGGGCGAAGCAGTCCGAACGATGGGCTTCCACAACTTGGGAGGGGAATCAATGTCTACACCTTTTTCACCTTCCAAGAATTCCAAAACAAATGCATGGCACACTCAAGAATTACTTGAGGAGGGCTCGCAATGTTATAAAAAATTTTATGATTTCGATTTTTCCAAATAGCCCACAAAATGAAGGCTATTTTTTCTTTAACAAGGAGCTTTTTGTTATTTTTGTTTGACAGTCTGACCCACTAGTCAAGAAGGTTTTGGTCACTATCTAATGGACCCCCTAACGGGTCATAGAGGATAGACCAGATTTGGTAGGAGAAAGGACAGTGCTTGAAAATATGATCTAAACAATTGCACAAACTCTGGGTTCATCCCAACACTCACCATTTAAGTTGATCAAATCTGATACCATAATATTTTCATTTTCCTCATTTTCAATAGATATTATTTTTTATAAAAGTTTATTGACAACTCATTTGTCATGGCAAAAACTAATTGTTTGACCATTACCAACTTGGTATCCAATACCTTTTTTCAATAGATCTCAGGAGTGGAGAATGCCTTTCCATGCCCACGAGGATTTATTTTTTTTGGTTTAATGTCCCACAAAGAAACACCTTTCATATATTTGCTTTTAATGAGTTTAACCCAAAGATTATTTTATTCATTTAATATTTTCCATCCTAATTTTGCAAGGTTTGCTTCATTTACCCATTGGAGATTTCTAACTCCTAAGCCTCTTCATCTTTTAGGAGTATAAATGCAACTCCATTTCATTAAATGCAATGGATTCTTCCCTTCATTCTTTTTCCATAAAAATTCTTTTTGAGCTCTTTCCAACTCCCCTAGAGCATTATTTGGAATTTTAAAAGACCCCATGATATATTGGGGCATCATGTTCGTAATTGAGTTAATCAATGTAAGTCTTCCTGCTAAAGAAAGAGTATTTTTTTTCCAATTTGCGAGTTTTTGATCATTTTCTCCTTGACAAAGGCAAAAGTATTCTTTGTAACTCTTTTATTGATTAAAGGAGCACCAAGATAATTCTTTTGCTCCAATTCCTTAAGAATTGTAAGCATCCTTGAAATCATTTTTTGAAGTTTTGGGTGAATATTCCTTGAAATAAGAACTGAAGATTTGCTGAAGTTTGGGATTTGTCCCAATGCTTTTTCATAATTTCAGAGAATTTTCTTCATTTTCATGCATGCAGGAACTAAAGTATTTGCAGAAGTAATACAATCATCAACAAATTGCATAATGGGGATCTTTGGACTCCCTCTAGAGATTCTGCACCCAATATCTTTGGTACTAGAATCTGCTTCTTTTTCCAGATTCTTTGCAAGAGCCTCATCACCGAGCACAAAAATGTAAGGAGATAGAGGATCCCCCTGCCGAATATCCCTACTTGGAATGAATTCAGCCGAAGGAGTCGCATTAATTAAAATTCTGTAAGAAACCAATTTGATGCATTCCATAACCCACGTGATCCACTTTTCATGGAAAACCAGACTTTTGAATAACCTTTTCAATGTAATACCATTCCAACTTGTCATAGGCTTTCTCCATATCAATCTTGCAAGCCATAATTTCTGACTTACCCTTCTTTTTTCTCATAGAATGAATCATCTCCTGAACAATAAGTACGTTATCATTAATTTGCCTATTGAGAATAAAAGCACTTTGAAATGGGGAGATAATGTTATTAAAAAATGGTTTAATTCTATTGACCAGGATCTTCGCAATAATTTTATAATAACATTACATAAGTTGATCGACCTATAATCATTCGCATCATTTGGGTTCTTTTTCTTTGGGATCAAACTAATGAAGGTTTGATTTAAAATTCTACACATTTCTTCTAACACCACATACTAATTCTCTAATAGAATTCCGGTATTTCTTAAGAAATAATGCATTTAACCCATCTAGACCTAGAGCCTTGATCTCCCATAAAATCGAAGGTATCACGAATTTCCTCATTTGAGACATTCTTAATAATCAAATTATTTTGATCCTCCCTTATCCAATTATTTAATCATTTTGATCCTCATTTAAGACATTACATATGCTGTTTGGCCTATAGTCATTTTGATCCTCATTTGAGACATTCGCATTATTTTGTTTTCCCATTTTTAGCCAATGAATAATAAACAGTTAAACACGGCAGAGTAACACACGGCACCAGAGAGATCACCATGTGCGTGGTGTACTACGCTGTACGCCCCACGCGTCATTACGTACTACCCTTCGTAGCTTCATTTTCAGCCACACATTCGTGAAAAGCATGGAGAATCCAAGCCACTGGTTCTAGGCGATCAGTATTATCTCATCCTAACACTCCAGGTGACATCTCCTTATTGGTCATCTATCAAGCGCCTTTCTACGTCTGTTGCAGTTGCACTCCCCATCTTGAAGCTCTAGGCCTTTCGTTCCTTCCTCGGTTCCTGCTTCGAAACGAGTTAAAGAAAGAAAAGAGAAAATCCATAGAATAAAACCCATTCTCATGGAAACTGAAGCTTTTCTGTCAATTTCTTGAGTGTCTAGATTTCCTTTTCGTGATCTATAATTATGCCATGGAGGCCCTCAATGCGGTAGGCTTGCCCCCAGTTTCAGTTCTTTCTGATAGAAGAACTGAGCCCAGAAGGATTTCATCACTCCCTTCAATTTCTCCCTTCAAATTCTCCAAATCTGCTAGTTCTGTTACCTCACCACCAAATTTAACCGATATCCTGTCGAGGAGTCTTAATGGGGGTCTAGTGGTTTTGACTTCTGTCCTTTCTGGTGAGCTTGCAAGAGCTCTTACTTATGAGGAGGCTCTAGAGCAGTCTGTCAGCACTTCCACATCTAGTAGTGGTCCTGATGTTGATGCGGGTGGTCTTGTTGACAGCGTTGTTAGCTTTGCAACAGAGAACCCTGCCATCATAGTTGGCGGAGCCACCATTTTAGCGCTTCCATTAGTTTTGTCTCAGGTTCTGAAGAAGCCTAAACCATGGGGTGTTGAGTCTGCAAAGAATGCTTATGCAAAATTAGCCGATGATGCTGATGCTCAATTGCTTGATATTAGAGAAGCGGTGGAGTTTAGGGAAGTGGGTAGCCCAGATATTAGGGGGTTGAAGAAGAAGGCTGTGTCCATTGTATACAAAGGTGAAGACAAGCCAGGCTTCTTGAAGAGGCTATCTTTGAAGTTCAAGGAACCAGAAAATACCACATTGTTCATTTTAGACAAGTAAATTCTAAACCCTGAATTTGTTGTTCTATCTCTTTATGTGCTAATCATTCCTGTCGTCTAATACTTGGATTTTAAACAAGACAGTTTGCAACATAGATAATCCCTTATTTTTTGAAACTTTAGAATCGCTACTTTCTAACTTTGAGTTCTTCCTAAGTTCTGGAACTGATTGAGTTGCATGGTTTACTTAGTTTTCCTTTCTGATCTGGAAAATTGGATTCATGCCAGGAAATTAATTATAGATGCCATCTTTTTTAATTAGGAGATTAATAGAGAAGTTTGTAAGCAGAGAAGAGATCTCCACCTGGAAAAGAGAGGGACTTAAAATAGGTACATTGATATCATTAGGATCTGTATGCAGAGGCAGTAACTAGTGTAAGAATTCAGAAAAAGGAGATGAGAGGTTTTCAATTACAATGGGTTTACACAGAAAGGTTAGCACTTATTTGATATCCTTTTGAATTAACTATGGGTGAAATAACAAGACACTTACAATCTATTATGCATGTTATTTGCTAATTATATAGGAACTTGAGATGGACTGAATGCAAAGCTGGAACATCAAGAGATAGGTCGGACTAAGACAAAATACATGTAAAAACAATTTTAGTAAAAATGGTAGTAATAATGGTAAAATCTCCGACTGGTAAGCATGAGAACACAGGTTTGAGTCTAAGAGCAGCCATTTATGCAAAGAAAAGAAAAACCAAAGTTAAGCCTATATCCTGTCCGCCCATCCAAAGACTCTGGATAGCTAGAACCAACATTGAGTAATGGTCCTTTCTAATGTTAAAAATGGTGGTTCATTTAAGATTAATGATTAAGAGATATTCCAAATTAACCACTTCTGGTACCTTGTATCCATCATCTATAATGAGGGAGAAATTAAAAAGGATGTCTCCCATAAAATTAGAGAATGGTGGTTGAAGTGGAGAGGCACATCTACTGTGCTATGTTAACAGTGTATAATAATGAGACTGAAAGGAAAGTTTTATAAGACAATTATAAGACTGGTGTCATTATATGGGATAGAGTGTTGGGGAATCAAAGAAGCAACATGTCAACAAATGAGTATAGTTGGGATGAGGCTGCTGAGGTAGATGTCTGGAAAGACTACAAAGGAAATAATTAGAAACAAGTGTACTATGGAGGACTTAGGAGTAGCTCCAATTGGTTACAAGATAAGGGAAGGTGAACTGAGACAGTTTGGACATGTGCATATTGATTATTGCACCAGTGAAGAGTGGCTTTCTGCAAGTGGAAGTTCCTAAAATAGCAAAACAAAAAAGATCAAAGAAAGCATTGACTGAAGTGGTAAGGAATTGTCTAAGGACCTATAATTTGACAGAAACATGGATGTTGATAGAGCACAAGGGTAGCAAAGGATTTGTATTGGGATAAGACTGAGTTGAATTGAAAAGTTGATACTGCATTAGTTGAAGATATACAGGCAATCATGAGGTTACCAATCCATTGAGCTATGCTAGTATAATGTATATTGGCTGCTTAGAAGGCTAAACTTGTGTTTCTTAAAAAAAAAAAGGCTAAAATTGCAGTCTCTTCCTATAATGCAGGAGAAAAAGCTATAAAACGCATGACCAATAATCTTTTGAACATTATATGGTACTGTGGAAGCTTGTAAGACCTTAATAATGAACTGAAGCTTTAAAGCTCTACAGCATTCCTTAAATAAAGAAAATACATAGTTCTAGAACCCTATCCTATAAACTGCAAGAAACGTAATCAACATAGTTAATTTTTTTAAACAATCAACATAGTTAAATTAAGTTGTTAACAGTGTGATCTGATCTGCTATTTGATATTTTTCTCTAGGGGATTTTCTTGATTTATGTAATATATCTTGCTATTTTCTTAACTATGTCAGAAAATTAAAAACGTTATTGATTTGTTCCTGAAATTAAATTTTAACCCTCGTAGTTTGCTTCTTTTTTCATTTCCTTTTTATTTTGTGAATTGTTTGTACTTTTACCTTTTTACTGGTGATGTTCTGGTATTAGGGATCATAGTTTGGACCTCATCTGAAGCATCTAGCCACCCAAAATATGCCTCAGAATTGGTATTTTAGATTCCAATCACGAGGCATGCTTTGTGCAGTTTGGAAACTGGGAGCGCGCATAGAAAAGATGGTCATCAGGAGTGTGACCTTCACCTTTCCTGTAGTAGTTCCGGATATTGATTTCTTACCTATATCGAATACTGGACCATGTGGTTTTCAATTACGTGTATCGGTATTGTTCTGAATTGCTGATAATATTTTCAAGACTACCATTCAGGACTAACTCAGTTGGAACTATTATGTGAGCCAGGTTTGATGGGAACTCTGAATTGGTTGCAGAACTGGTCACTGCAAATGGTTTCAAAGGTGCTTATGCTATAAAAGATGGTGCAGAGGGTCCTCGAGGATGGCTGGTTATTGTCTATCTACCCTTATTCTCTCTCTCTCTCTCTCTCTTTTCTTGTTCATTGATATTTTATTTTCTCCTTGATACACTTAGATTGAAAATCTTGGCAATGAATGCAAATTTTGCAGAGTAGTGGTCTACCATGGATTCCCCCAAAGAGAGCACTCAGTTTTGATTTTGGCAATTTGACAGATGCTATAAGTGGTGCATTTGGGGTATGCATCTCAAACTTATATTTAATTCTTAAATCACTGGGTTAGAGATATTTGGTGAACTCTCAAATGTAGTTTGACAGGCACACCTTGCATTCTAATAAACAAGGATAACCCATCTTTCAAAAAAATCATGTGTTAAAGTAGATCATTTGGACATTGGAAGATGGGATATGAGAAACCTCTGTCAGGAACAAAACTAAAGTTTATGTTAACAAAATCTTAAACCTTCCCTGATATGCAAACTGGTTCTTTCCCTCCAATGCCATATACTCTTACAGTTGATGCTCTGGACAATGTTCATTAATCTATTGAAACCTGTTATACGAATAAAAATCACTTTGTTTGAATATATGTTTAACTTTTTTCGTTGAATGTTGTGCATCATCTTTCGTAAGTGTTTGCTTAGATAACCACCAGAGTGAAAACCAAGTGCAATGAACATGATCTTTCCTTCTTGAGGATGAATTTCTTTCTGATAACAATAATTTCCACACTAGAAGAAAATTCTTTTTATTTTCATCTTGCACTTTCAATAAACAGATTTTTCTTTGCTTGGGATGGGTAGGCTTTGGCATTTATTTTACAAAGTGGACGCTCTCAGACTTGAACCAACATCTTCATGCTTGTCAGTTCCAGCTTTTACCATTGCATCAAGCAATGGCCAATGGCCCCTATTTCTGACCCTGCCTTCTTTGATGGAGACCCTCCTTTATTTTCTTAAGAAGGAACACATATCTAATTTCTATGATGATACAACTGATAGATTATTTTGCATGAGAAACTATTTTAAAATAAGAAGCATTTGCTTCTACTGCTTGATTCAGTTCTTATCTGTACTAGCATCTATATGATAAAACGTCTAAAAATATCATTTACTGTTGAAAATTTGTGGAAGATTTAGTTTCTTGTTCCAGCATGATGTTATTAATTCCACTTTTATTTTGATTAATTGAATTTCATCTATTTGCTGACAAAAGTAGTTTTAATGCAGGAAGGTTCTGATGGTTTGCCTGTTACACTTGGAATAGCAGCAGCAACTGGCTTAGGTGTATTGGCATTTTCAGAGGTTGAGATATCAATATATCTTATTGCATCCATTTGTTGTTTTCTTGATATGAATTCTAACGTCTGATATTTTTTCATGTAATTTTTGTAGATAGAAACAATACTCCAACTTCTGGGTTCAGCTGCACTTGTTCAGTTTGTCAGCAAGAAACTATTGTTTGCAGAAGTTAGTCTCTGACAATGCCTCCTCAACTCCTAATTCTGTTCTTTTAAGAATTCTTCAAGGAATTTGAGAAGTCTGCTAGAATAGCAAGATGCTTCTTATCCTGCATGCTGAATAGATATTATTTCTTCAGGCTATGAAATTGGTCAGCCCCCTCTTGGTCATGCAAAGCATAATGAAAATTCTAGGATTTGTAACCTTCCTATAAGTTGGGTTGCTTTTAGACTATTAAACTGCTTTTTTTCTCTTTTGAGCATCCAAGATTTTACTCATTTTTGAACTTGGATAGAAGTTAATATGGTTCCTTGATATGGCCGCTACATTTAAGTCCATCCAGTATATATTGGATTGCATTAGTTGAATATGGGCTTATTTGTATGGTTTTAGACTCAACAATGTTAAAGCTCTTTGTCTATCCCTCATTTGAGCATTATAGTAGAAGTTTATAGGTTCCTGACATCCATTGGTTTCCACTGACAGGACAGAAAGGTAACATTAAAACAAGTCGACGAGTTCTTGAACACCAAGGTTGCTCCCAAGGAGCTCATTGATGAAATAAAGGTAATAATGCAATTAACCAAGTTTTACTCAATTTAGCCTTGGTTCCAACTATTTGGGGTTGGCTATATGAATCCTATCCTTTCATTGTGCTCTATCAGGAGCATGCTTTCTGTCAAGTTGCAAGTTCTTGGATGATTTCTTACTTAAATTGCTCTAGTTTTATTGGATACATTTATTTGAAGATGAGATGTTTTCAGTTCAAACCCTATCATATGTGGTGCTCTTTAAATTAGCGTTTTAGTACATGCTTATCTTCAATATTAATAAAAAATTCAGGCTTATCATCTGTGGTTTAAAAATCTTTCCCTCTCCTCATGTTGTTGCAAATTCAGCAAATTGGGAAGGCTGTTCTACCATCACCTATAGATAACAAGGCTCTACCGGCACCTGTGGAAAGAGCACCCGATACTGTGAAGAAGGCTGAAGCTGTTCCAGAGTTGAATACTGAGCCAACATTAGAAAAAACTGCAGAACCTAGTTCCGAGGTCAATTCAGTACCCCAAACAGATGTTAAAGCAGAATCAGTTCCAGGACTGTCAAGATCACTCTCGCCATACCCATATGTAATTTTCATCCTTCAATATTATTCATGCAGAATTTTCTTGACTTCATTTTATATCCATTTGGCAATGCTAGTAAATTTTAGATCATGAGCATAAATTGCATATACAAACTCTATTTTCGGTTAGCCTGTTTTTTTTTTGGATTTCTTTTGAAGGGCTACACAACAGGGGGGTAGCCCATCCCCCAACCCATGACCCCCCAAGGTGCAGGCGGGATTCGATCCCAAGTCTCCACTACGAGCAGTAGGAGACCTTACCAACCCACTGGTTGGCACCTTGCATTTTCGGTTAGCCTGTTTGATAATACTGATCTGCTATCTTATCCCGCTTCCTAGTATTAAACAAATTTATAGTTCAGTCATTGGTGATCCTATTTCTATTCTTATTCTTTGAACCAATATTTATCTTTCTCTTGTTTTAATGGGTGCAGTATCCAGATTTCAAGCCCCCAACCTCTCCTTCCCCCTCTCCACCCTAAAATTTTGTTGCAGCGTGAGATCCAGGTGTATGTTTCTGCAACGGACAAATGGTCTGACCCGGAAATACCAGAAGCTACTCGGCAATTGATGTAGTTAAATTTTTGTATTATAGAAAGGTGTAAGCTTTAAATGGCACTTTGAAACTGAAGAAAAAAATATATATGCACAAAATTATTCGTTGCTGTCTATATTTTCCTGCTGTTGCTGAGTCATGCATCAATTTCACTGTAACTAAATGTAACGTCTTGTTTGGTTTGGTGTGGTTCTTGTCACAGATCTGTTGGTTGTATTATGCTATTAGCTTTAGCTATATGCAATTACACATTTCATTGTATTTTTATCTACAGTGAATGATTCTGGATAACGTGATCGGCTGAAGGGATTGAGTGTTGGCTGTGTTGCAGAATGCAGATTTCCCCATCTCAAATGGTTGATAATGTGATGCAGGTCCAACATGGCATATTAATTGTTGCATTGATGATACTCTGATTTGAGATGTGGCACATCATGAGGGGAGAAATCTTTTACTTCCATGGCATTCTTGCAACGCCATTTCCAGGCATCCCAGAGAACAACGGTGCACTGAGCAAGCATGGATACATGCAGTAGGAGCTGTATTAGCATCCATGGAATGCCACTCATACAGCCAATCAATGACGGTGGAGTGCAATTTGGATGGGCTTCCCAGAGAGCGCGCCCCACAACACATCCTCCCCTTTCATTGGGAACATTGGGCTTGCCACCTTGCCTATCTTGAAATCTTCAACAAGGTGAGCATTGCTCTCTCCAACACATTGGGGTAGCCCATTCCCATTCCTTAAGGCCTTAACCCCAGTGAATACATCTGCTCCCTACTGAGGGCGCCCCACAAACATCTCACCGCACATTTCAGCGTGCATTTTGGGAATTCTGTGCCGTGGGGCGCCCTATATGGGCTGCAGATGTGAATTACAATTCTAGTGGCAGGGGTAGCCCATCCCCCACCCCTTTAACCCGTGATTGGGTCTGCTCCTCACAGGCACATCCACCGTGCATTGGGAACATCTCCCGTGAATATTCATTAATAAGTACTTACATGATATGCTTGTGAGGCGCCAGTTGTGAGGAGCAGATCCGGTCTCCTTTAACCTCTAAGGATGGGGGCTAGCTTCTATCAGGGCTGCGCGCATCGTTCGCACTGCATGAAGACACGTCACGTGTCCTTGAAATGTATGTGATGAAAACGTGTGAGGTGAATTAAACGCACTCCTCTCACCACTCTCGTCATACCGAATCGAATCCACCGTTTTTACTCTCTCTCTCTCCCTCTCCAACCAATAGCTATCACCGGTGGTCGGAGAAAACTGGTGGAAGAAATAAAGTAAATCTGGACTAGAATGAGAAGAGGGGGAAATAAATGGATTTATGTAGAGCGATTTTTTTGGGGTAAATTTATAACATGATGTGTTGAACAGTCGCCGGTGTTCTCTTCTCTTCTCTTCCCTCCCCATTGTCCCTACACAGTACTGAACCGCCCCAACAAGTGCCTGAATCTCCACCACCCAAACAACAACGCTGTCAGAACTGCTGCTACAACACTCGCCATTTGGAGGCGGAAATGGGTGTTAGAGATACGTGAACTGGGGAAGAAAACGAGAATTTGGTTGGACAACTTCGAAACGCCGGAGATGGCAGCCACTGCCTATGACGTTGCGGCGTTACAGCTTAGAAGGCGRTCGGCGAGCTCATGAGGAAGCTTCATTGTTGATGATATCCGGTCGGCATCTCATGAGGCGGCTTCATTGCTTAGAGTTAGAGGGCCAATGGGAAGCTTCGAGGTGTGTAGCTCCAGCTCGTACTTTGTTCCAACAATCATCAAGTTGTCGAAGAATCAAATTCAAGCTATCAATGAGTCGCCTTCTGCAAAGTTAGCAAAATCTCTGTTGGTGGAGCCACCTAATGTGTTTTACAGAGCTCTCTCTCCTGGGACTTTTCTTGAGCTTTGCGAGAGATTTAATGGCGGATTCTTGAAAGAGGTCTATCTCTTTCTTGAAAGAGATTTAATGGTGGAGGACGCCAAAAAAAACTTATTAACAGTAGTTAATACAAAAGAAGTCTGCTACACTCGTCAATGAATACACTTGAACAAGAGAATCAGGGGCGAGAGAGGAGTGGGATGAAATGAAACTATGGAAGGAATGAGGAGTTAAATTCACCTCGCACGTATCAAACACGCACACATTTTCAGAACACGTGATGCATTCTTATGCTACGCGAATGGTGCGCACACTAATTCTGCCTTGATAGAAGTCGGACTCTAACACTGGTGGTAGCGGGATTTGATTTTGGGTAACAACAATCCTACGAACCCGTTCTCTTCTTTGGTGGGTTAGAGATTCTTTCGTATTTCCCATTTATCATTTTAGCTTGGGACTAGCGCAATTGAATATGTATTGGCCAAATACATGGTTTTAATTATTTTATAATTTTTATCATATTATATGTTTGAAATTGTAAATTTTATAGATAAGATAATATTAGTTAAAAATGTTTAATTTATTAATAAATAAATAATTTAGTATTCCATTTGTATTAAGATTGTATTATCAAATTTTAAATTTTAAGTTATTATTCAAATAAATAAATATAATTTTTAGTATAATTAGGTCTAGTTGGTCTAGACTAGACCTATTCATGGGTTAGGTATCCCGACCGCTAGCTTGACCCGGCCCATTTTAAGTCAGGTTTGGATATGACTTTAGGCCCATAGGCTTGAGCTTGGGCTCAAAACACTAGGCCTTTTTTTGGATTGGGCTCGGGCTTTCTCAAAAAAGCCCCACTTAAGCCTGAGCTTGACTTGATAACATGGTTTTTAAAACCGATCTGAAGACTGAACCGGTTAGGGGTCCAGTTACCGGGTCGACCTGAATGGTCGGCCCGCTTTGCCAAAAAAATAAAAAAATTAAAAAACGCTTAAAATCGTTTGAATGGTTCGAACGGTTAACTGCCCAGTTCAGCGATTTGTTGACCAAAATCAACCTTTTTTTGAGAAAACCTAGTTTTGGGGGGAAACAGAACCGGTCACCTGACCGGTTCCCGGTTTTTCCGGTCCGACTGTCTGGTCTGATCCAATTTTGAAAACAATGCTTGATAATATATTATATAATAAAAAATATATTGTATATATTTTTTCTTTGTCATCTTCTCTTTTTTTTTTTCAAATAATAGTGAGATCTTTCATTATTTTTGGGTATTGAGGTCTTTTGATATAAATAAAACAATTTTCACTGAATAAAAAAGAAAAAAATCGTTTTTCAAATTTTTGGTTAGGCTTGGGCTTAAGTCCAAGCTTTGGGCTTTATATGAGGGTCGGGCTTGAATTCAAGACATAGGCCTAATGGTCAGACTAAGCTTGGGCTTAGGCCTAAATGTGTTCTGTTAATACAGTGACAAAATTTGGCCTGTGAACAGGTTAGTCCAGACTAAACCTGTTCATGGGCCGGGTGGCCCGACGGGCCGGCCTGGCCCGGTCCCCGGACGGGCTTGAACAGGTATATAGGCCCGCGGGCTTAACCTCGGGCCAAAAAGCCCGGCCCGCAATAAATTCGAGCCGGGCTCGGGATTTGCCAAAATAGCCCAGCCTGAGCCCGGCCCGGCCCGACCTATAAATAAACCTAGAAAACCTAGTTGAATACCCCTCTTTTTTTCACCTCTTTCCCTTCTTTTTCCAACCAAATTCTTCTTCTTCACATCCTCWTTCCCTTCTTTATATATATTTTTTAATATAAATAAATTTTGAATCTATATATTTTTTTAATGTAAATAAATTCTGATTTATATTGATTATTGAATAGAGAAATTTCTAATTTTTTTTTATTAGGTCGGGCTTCGGGCTCGAGCTCGGGCCCAAGTTGTAGGCCCGTTGGTCCGGCCGGGCTCAGGCTCGGGCCTAACATATTTCTGTTAATAAATAGTAAAAGCCCGGCTCGAGCCCGGCTCGGCCCAGCCCATGAACAGGTCTAGTCCAGACCAACAAAACCAACTATTAATCGAGATGGTTTTGGGCATGTGATTTTGTCCATACTAATAATTAGTTTGGGACTAGGGCCACCCTATCCTAAGCCATAGACAACCCTAGTGTTACAACTTCCAACAGAAGTACGTAGAAAGATGACTTAAAAGTCACATGTTGACATTTCATGGATGGAGGGTATGTTTTAAGTACAGTACGGTTAACCCACAAAGTATATTTAAGTATACTTTAAATATTTATACTATGTTTGGTTTCACAGGCGTTTATGGGAAAAATGCCGCCACAAGAGTGCCACTTAAGTATTGGAGTTTATTGTGCATGAAACTATTGGTTTCACCATTTATCAAATAAATACTAAAAAATAAAAACACTTGGACTTATGTGCTTGAGGCATTCGGGGAAAACTTCAAATTCAAGTTTCTCCCAAGCCCCAACATTAATTGAAATGAAATGCTTAGCTGGAGCATTGTAAACTGAGATGGAAGATAGCTTTATGGGGGTCTTACTTGAAATGCCCATGAAATGTCTAACCAAACAACAAAAGCAACAAGTGTTAAGCTGAGGTGGAAGATAGCTTCATAGGGTATTTGCTTGAAACACCCATGAAATATTCAATCATACAATAAAAGCAATAAACATTTAAAATAATTCACGTATTTTCAATTAAATATTTATCTAAGAAACACCCAATCTATAAAGGCTCATGGAACCAAACACATATGTAGTCTTTTACCCTTTAAAAAAGTAGTTCATATTAATGGTATAAGTTTGAGGGAAAATTTTCGATCAATACCCTGTACTTTGGGCCTTGTGCCACTTTGGTCCCTGAATTTTAAAATGCAACAATTCAGTACTTGAACTTTCAAAATGTGTGAATCTATTACCTCTCGTTAACCATTAAGTGAGTGTCATTTGAAAAGACATAAATGCTAAGTGTAATCTAATTCTCTTTGTCAACTATCCAAACATTGATAAAAAATGAACAGTTTCAAATCTTTTTACCTCTTCCATTTAAAAAAGTTGGGGTCACCTCTCAATGGGCAACAAGTTGAAACATATTTCCTACACTAGTGTGTCACAAATAAAAGATTTACCCACTTCTATCCATAATAATGAAGACTACTATTACGTATGCTTTAGAATAAAGCAAATACATACCCCCTTTTCCATTAATTGTATCCGTACCACCTCACATTTTTGAGTTACTCCACTGATATTTGGGGAGAGTATCTGATGAGGGCGGATTTGGCCCTCCAGTGAAATTATGACACATGGCACCTCATGCCAATTAAGTGCAGCCTCTTGACAACTAGGCAGCTCGCCACTTACAAG